AGGTCACACTCACGGAAGCTTGAAAACAACACCAGCTTCAAACGAAAGACGGACGTTAAAACAAGCTCGACGGTATTTTCGGCAGTTATACAATGTTATGTAGGTCTCTACCCTCCACCAGGACAGGGATGTGTCTAAAACATCCCGGTTTTGAAAAGTTAGCGTGTGGCTGGCCGAGTGCACGGTCGGACTAGCAGTACGACATGGACAAGTACAAATCCTGGCTTGAGCTTTCATGCAGCAAGAGCCCCTAGTGGTCCTTTTCAATGGCTTTCATATGCCCAGTAGTGTCTATCTAAGGACCTGCCAGTGTATGGGAGCGGTGTTTGTTGCGAATCCAAGGCTGAAAACGCAAACCGCAAGACCACAGGCCATAGGTCACAAGCCCTAAAACCTATGATGGCTAGAGTTGCCAATGTACATTTCACAAAAGGGCTGTACCTCATTTCTTGGCACCGGGTACCTTGCTCTCAAATTATGAAGGCTCCAGATTGACCCTAACCTCAAACTCATCACATGTCATGAAAGCAGAGCTGCGCTCAGGCAGCGAAGCCGAGCAGATCAACTCACGCAGTGCTGAATGATAGAAACAGTGTGTAGCAGGAATAATGATTACCACAGTCACAGTAGTAGCAGTATTCCACTCCTGTGCAGAAACCACTACATCTTGCCTCGAGCCGCCAAAGGTAACAGCTCCCGGTTTGAACCTTGGACACGAGACCAACAACCTTTACAATCCTTAGGGTTAGGCATTTCAGGCTGCGGTATGCTTAGGGCCTAGGGTCTGGGCTTCAGCTATGTTTCAGACAGGATGGGAACAGCAGGAATGCACAGGAAAGTCTTGGATTCAGTTGCAGGTCAAAGTCCATCTCAGAAGTCGCAAATGCCAAGCCCTGAACCACACCCGGTGTAGCATTCCTTGCGGAACCATATAAATGTACACTCACCAAACATATCAAAAATCATAACGAAAGAAAAGACCTCCCTTCTCCCTTAACCAAGGGCCCGCGCAGCCGCAACTGGAACGCTAAACCCTAAAGGAACACCATGAGACAAGAGGCTCAGCCGCGCTGGGGTTCAGCGTGCTGGTCACCTGTGGCCGGGCTCTTTAAATAAGGTTGGGGAGAATATAAAAGGATTTTGGTTAGCCCATCCCCGCTAATGGAGAATCACACCGGAAGTGGGGTTTAGGGGTTGAGACACAAGTCCTGGGGCTTGGGATTCATGGTGCAAGGTTACCGCTTAGGGTGTAGGGCTAGGGGCTTTTGATTGGAGATTTGCGGCCTTGCTTAAGAATTGAGGCTTCGAGGTTTTGAGCTCAGTGTTCGAGGTTTGTTTCTTACAGACCATGAGCACCTGCTAAGACTCTCCCTGCGCACCGGCAAGAAAAGCAATGAGCGATGAGAAGACGCTGCATGGTGAAGAGCTGAGGAAGACATCAAGGACCATGCCATATAAGGATTGTAAAAGGATCATATAGGCCTCTTCTACACGGATTAGGATCTTCTGGTCGACGATGCATAGGCCTCTAGTAATAGGATGTAGCATGTTTGGGCTTGGGGGACAAAATTCAGGCATAACGGCATAACCGCGTGGCCCCAAAAGCAAAACAAAACATTCCCGTGCTTTGGGAAAACAGCTGTGCAAAGTATGACCCACCAATGCCCTCTGAATACCGAAGTCATTGCTGTAAGAGGGAGCTGTAGCCGTCCACTATTTTGTCATATACCGCAACGCCCCTGACCCCCCGAACCTAGAACACAAATGTTCTTCTATAAATTGAGACCCCAATCCTGAACTTTGAAACCCCAATGGCTGGCCACGCGCCTCTTCCTCCTCCCCTGTGCGCAATTCTCGTGGGAATAGTTTCAGGAGCCCACTAGCAATACTTCGGGAATGCCAACAGGCACCGAGCCCTCAAAAGCGTTCTGTTCATGTGCGAATTTCTCGTGCTAGCGTGTGGCCTTAGGGGCTTGCGCAGGAATTTTGATGATTTTGAAGACGAGAGTGTAGGGGTCCCACTGAAACCCAGGCTAATGTAGGGAGGTTCACGGGGTTGAGTTTCGAGCCATAGAACTGGGTCTAGGGTTTCGGGTGGAAGGTGTGGATTGAGGACTTCTTGGAGGGAATAACGTGTAGGAGTGCCTGACATTGTCTTTTTAGCATGCTGCTGTGCCCCAGTTAAACCCTCAGTCTCAACCTTGATCTCTCTCAACCTTGATCTCAACCCTCAGCCCTGCCCAAAAGGTCTAAACGCCTCAAACCCCACTTCAAGCCCTATGACCCCCCCCAAAAAACTAGGCAGAAACGCTTCAAACAACAACAGAGCCTTCCGGCATTGCTTAAGCCGGCACCTCGGCATTGACATGGGGTTTGGGGCCTAGGTGCAGGGCTTATAAAGGAGTTCGGGGTTGAGACGTTAGCTTTTTCGAGTTAGGGGTTTTAGTTAGGGCTAGGGTTTGAAGTTTATGGTTGAGACCCTGAGGTTTGTGGAAACATGAGGGGGGATCAATTGCACAACACATTACAGTTGCTATGGTTTGCTGGATATCGGGCGGGCTTCTGAATTTGAGAAGTGGCTCCATCTCAAGTATACTGCGCAGGGTTATGGAGATCAACCTAGATACAGAAGTTCGGGTTGCGACTTGAAGCTCTAAACCTTCAACGCTCAGGAGTCAGAGTGTGAGAGGCAAGGGTTGAGGGTACTCTTGATGCAACATCTGTGCCGCTATAAGTGAGAATTGCTTTAGACTGTGCCTTTAGGTGGCGCAAGATCTCGCCGCCAACGTATGTCTAGCATCTTGAGTTACTTCTAGCTCAGCAGAGGCCATTGCTCTGTTCGGATATTAGACATGGGTGCGTGGGGCTATATGCTGCACAGAGCTTGAGGATGGGCCGAGGGCTTGGGGATTAGGGTTGAGCTTGGCAATTCTTGAGAACTGGGTCGTTGTTTCCATATGTACCCTTATTCAAACTCTGTGCACATCTCGCAATTGTGTAACCGTACTTCGACATTAGGCACATCATTGCATACTTAACGTCACCCACGCTTGAGGGGTGCCTCTCTGTTTGGCGTGTAAACTGAGAAAGTAGGGTTGCTAGGCCTTTGTAGTGGTCTGGTGATGCTAGTGCTCAAGGTTTCACAGGCATTCAGGGATGTGTATGCATGGACTGCGTGGTAGCCAGCTGGTAAGCCAGAACAAAAAATAGTTATCATGGCCCAACCAAGTCTAAATAAGTTCGCTAATTGCCCCTTCATCGAAGTGTTCGGCCTGCTCCTTTCGTACCCACTTACCAAACAAAACGCATCATTTTTCATTAGGGCAGACACATAGCCTCAGGTTACCTACAAGCCAGAAACCTGATAGTATATCGTATAGGTACACAGACTTCTGCAAGCATGTTGAAGGTTGCTTGAGATTAGGCTCCAACTGCAAGAGCTGAGATCATGGACTCTGAATCCACATACGCCTTGACCGGACCTCTGCTGTGGCTGGAGACACAAGACAAATGACGCTGGATTCTTTGCAAACCCACGCCTTGCAACAACGCCCCACATCAAAGACACTCATCTCTAAGCAAGCTGAGAACACTGCGGCACCATCGCCCGAGCACATGGCGCTGATTTGTCGGACTCCGACTATGGTTTGGGATCGGAAAACTGTAGGGCATCTAACGATGGAAGTACACAGCAAAGCATTTGCATGAGAAGCCCAGCCGCGTTGTTCTTTATGATTCAGACATCCTCGCCGTGGCGTGTAGTGGAGAAAGGAGGGCGATGGGTTTAAAATCTGACGTTCTCAGGTCCTGGCCTTGGAAGGCCAAAAGCGATCTCTCGATGTAAGGGCTGCTGCTTAAGCTCTGAACTCTTCTGCTTGTCCAACAGAACCCCAGGGTGCCAGACCTCGTTTATACGGTACGTAACCGGGGAGAAGAACTTTCGGAAGTAGGTCTATGTGTAGAGCCTTAATCCTGAAATAATCGTGGAGCTGCGGCATGCGCAATTTCAGCCATGATCCGCCCAATCGGGAGAAATGGCCGCGGGAATCGCTATGCTTCTTAGTGTACCATCTACTAGAACTGAGGAGGGCAGCATGTCGAAGGGGTCCAATACATACAAATCAGGTCTCTGCACCGTGTTGGAAGGCTGACATCGCCGACCGAATGTACCAACAAAGCGTTCTAGGCATCTGTGACACAGTAGTTCTTCGACATTCGTTCAATCTAAATACTCCTTCGCACCGTGCGACAAGAAGATGTCCTGACATCCGATAGTCATCCATTCCTGTTATTTCCGTTCTCTTCGTTGCAACATGAACGAAGTTCGGGCTCCTGAGTTTGAAGAGAGCTTCAGCAAGTGAAGCTGCCCTGGCTGCTTACCTTGCTGCTAGAACACTTGCACTTATGCCCCGCGGTTTATGGTTCACGGTTTCGGCTCGGACTTCTCGACCAACGAGCAGAAATGCTGTTGTATATTTGGAGCACAAATTGAAACCCATATGGCATTGCGTTGAAGTGCCATCCCAACGTGAACAGGTGACTGCAACAAGAGGTCCGTCCAACGGCCCTACATAAGCCCGTAGAGCTCCCAACGCCTCTAATTACTCCCCACAAGAGCCAGAAACCTCAAAGCGGCGCGCACAGAACAAACAGTCAGCATTTTTGCGCCTGCTCGTCGCAGCTTGGTTTTTGAGGAGATGAGGGCTTAGGGTTGAAGGCCTCTGAGGCTCACACGCATCAAAACATTGAATGTTGCATTAATTGCTCTGGAGATGCTGAGATTCATCTGAGTTTCCAAGAGTTTTGTCCTCAGAGTCTTGTGGACGCCACCTCTGCATGCAAAGACCAGGCCTGGATGTCACGTGTGCATCAGAAGCAACTGAAGCAACCCCAATAATCTCATTCAAGGATCCCCCTTCATGCGCGCACTGGCCATTGAATACCCTAAATCCTCAAGCCTGAGAGATAAGCCTCAAGCTCTTACCCGTAAACCCCAAGCCCTATGGCGCTGACCATACGCTGCTCAGCAGGTCCAGCTGCCAGCCGGTGCCTTGCCTGGCTTTATTTATAGGACTGTAGGTTTGGATTTCTAGGAGATTAGTGCTTAGGACTGATATCTAGGTCTTAGGACTTGGTCTTGTTGGGTTTGGGAATTATAGGGTTCAGGGCTCAAGGTCCTTTGAAAGTTATCAACGCGGAAAAAGTCTTCCGCTGAGAGCCGCTGTACCTCATGAGTTGGCATCCTTACCACGGGTGAAATTCGAGTCGCCTCTGTTGCATCATGAAACAACTATGGCAGCTCGGGACCCCAACATTTTGATAAGCACACACGTCGCCACAAGGCGTTGTTAATGTCTTGGCAGGTTCCTTTGCAGTTCCAAAAATCTGGACCTTGATCAAGAATTGTGGGGCTCACAAGAATCATACGGAATGCTTTGGGCTTATGGTGAGCTTCATAAGGTATCATAAGGCGTCATAAGGCGGCAAGGGCAGCCGTGGCTTGATAAGGCGGGCTGGAAGCGGTAGAGGCAATAGAGTGTTGGTGCAAGTTTTGGCTTGTGTTTGGGGTTGGGGGCTGCAGTAACCTTAGCAATCCCTTCCAGAGTACCAGTTTTTCCCAAATGTACTTACAGACAATCGTAATTACTGACATTCCGAGTAGGAGTCGTGATGATCCTTGAAGACTACAGTATTGCCCTTTCGTCCGCGACTGGAAGGATTCTGTTTTGGTGTGACATGGAACACCTCATGGATGCTACAATGTTGCTGTAATCAGTAATCCTTGCGCAAGCCTACGACACTCTTCATAACCCTGACAAAGCTGTATCTCCTTCGAAGCCATGGACGAAACCTCTGATGCAGTTGGAGCACTTCTTGAAATGAGAGCACCCGTGGAAATCCCCAAAGGAGGAAGGACAGTTCCAGTTGCAAGGCATCCGAACACAGGCCCAGTGTACATTTCTGAATTGGGTCTTGTGCTTTAAAGCAGCTCTCTGGACACAGGATACATGATTCGGATGAAAAAAACCTGCTGTCCTCTATGCAAGGTTTTGCCCATAAACCGCGTGCGCTGCCAGAAGAGCATGGGGGCCTCTCTTTGAAGTATATAAGGTTTGCGCAGGACCTTCTTTCTTTTCCATGCGAAAACCCTCGTGCGCCAGCCAAACCATCATCACCGCAACAATAAAGCCAAACCCTCGACCCTCAATCCAAAATCCCAAACCCTGAACCCTCAACCCTAAATGCTGAACCACTGGAATAGATCCTTCAGAAATCATCACGTCGCCGCATGCACGGCCTTCTTGCCGTCCGCTTTGCTGGAAGCAGGCCAACCGTCTCGTAAGCGCGCTCGGAGGCCTCGAAAAAATTCTATGATACTGTATATAATATAATAAAATTTAATGTAATAATAATAATAATCCATCGCTATATATCGCCAAAATTAAAGTTTCGACCAACCGAGGCCTCAGGGCCTGACAGGAGTCCCAACGTACACCAAGAGATCATGCAGCATGGGCCATAAGATCCAATTCGACTATAGTTTGTTTGTCCTAGGGGTTTGCAACGCAACGTTCCCCGTGTCAACAGACAAATCCAAGATTTCAGGGTTGAGGTTTGAAGGTCGCAATGTTAATGGAATTTAGGGTCCTCTCGAGGTTCAGAGGTGAGTCTAAAATCTAAACAGCTCCTCCACACAAGCAACGACTTCAGGGTAGTGCCCGCCTGGGACCGTGACAAACAAGAAGCAACGAGAGAACCGTTGGCATCTCAGTGCTCCCCGTTCATGATTGTCTCGTTTCCCTCAGCTGCGTGTTTGCTATTAGCCCTGTCGTAAAGGGGCGCACTTTGAAATCCTATATTGCTTCGGTGCAGAATAAGCCCATAAAAAGATTTTAGGAATGGGCAGGATAGATTTGCTGTCAGTATAGGTGTCAGACAGTGTGCCACCGATGCAGGAGGTGCTGGCCGTCCAAGCATTCCTCCACAGCAATGGAACCCTGTAAGCCCCCACAAGCATGAACTCCTCAAAACCCTAAACACCCTGAACCAGTAAACGCTGCTCAAATGCTCACAAGTTGGACTTTAAAGCACCACACGCCGGACCTCCTCTAACGCCCAATCATGACATGGTCCCAAGGCCTCCACCATTTCACGCTGTTGTGTTTGGTACCCATAATCTCAGGCCTTATAAGCCCTGCAAGCCCTATATAGCTTATAAACCCTACGTATGCCCGGAACCGGCTACACCCAAAAGCCCGGGGAGCCTCGAGATCCTCTTTGAGAGCCGAGCTTGGTCGGGCGACCTAAATATTATGGGTTCTCTTGACCAATCCCCAAATAATCCCTCCCCTCCTCCTTACTAGGCTTGGTGCTGGCCAGCTACGGCTAACCTGGGGGGGTATAGTATAGGAGGGGGAACAACGTAGAACCCATGATATTGGGGGCGCCAAGAATCCTTCAAGAATGGTTTCGCCGGGTTTTGGACTTTACAGTATTCAGGGTTTAAGGGCGTTGAAATTGAACGTGCGCAGGGCGTAAACTCGACGGGAACAGAGATGGAAGCTGCGAGACGATGAGCAAGCGTCGAGAACAACGCAAGCCATGCCACTTGTACGAAAAGCGGCGCCTGAAAACAAAGAGCATGCCCGCCAACCAGGTCAGGCTTTTGTTTTCTGAGCAATTGGAGCCTTCTACGGCGCTGAAGCGGTACGCGGTCCACAGACTGCGGTCAGGACAAGCCGTTTCCGCCCCGAAAGACCACTGCCCATGCAAAAGGCTTCTCAATGACACCGCGTGTTTGTTTAGGGAAAGATAGCCCCTGGCACCCCCTGCGCCACCAAGCCTCTAAACCAATGTTGAAATGAAAGCTTAACATTCAATTGGAGCGACGGTCCAGTTTGCCCTGAGGCTTGCCGATTCTGAGTACAGGTGGCATTCTGAGTAGCCATGGTCGCCAAATTAATGAAACCCTACCGACTCCACTACAACCCATCAAAAAACTGCAGGTGCTCTCTAAGATGCTATTGCTGCCCTGAACTGCTAGATGGGAGGATGGGGAAGGGAAAGGGCCTCCTAATCAAGTTTCCCCATTACAAGCAGCAGTATGAACTGACATGCACCGAGATCAAGCCACAGGGTCCTTTCCACTCGCACAAGAACCACAGTGAGCAATGGCCGCACAGCAACAGTGCAATATTGTTCTTTAGTTCAGGGCCACGCAAGCCTGAAGTCCCGCAACATAAACAACAAGGCGCCCCAACCCAGGAGCCCTCATGTACCCAAGACCTACAGCAACTCCAAGTCGCTGTGAACAGGCGGCAGGTGTTGGTGGCGCGTGTGATCCCTCCGATTCCTGTTAAATGCACAGCCCAAAAAAAGGCGGTACACGAAGAACACAAGTTAGCCTCCTAGGGTCCGTGGCCACGCGAATCCCAGGTCGCGCAACCGCAATGACATGCAGGTGGGCCCAATGCCCACGCCCACCAAGCGCTCCAAATCCAGACAAGCTCCAAGCCGCGACCGCAGCCCTTCAAGATAAGGCCCCAGCGGACAAACCGAACCAGCTGGTGTGAAGGCGCACTGGATTCCGTGTCGGAGCCTCTGCCAGCACCGTTATCCTGAACCACAGCAACAGCACCCGGCTTGCAAGAGGCTTTTAAGGATATCCAAGGCTGTGGCTTCAGGGGTTGGGGGTCTGGGGTTTAAGGTCTTCGCCCTCCCCCAGACAAAAGCTGAGAGAGCGGCCTACGTAATGTCTTTTTTCGGGCTCTCATGCTCGTCTGGGGGGACATAGCCCCCAGGGTCTTGTCTCGAGGTTCGCGGCTGAAGGGTGTGCCCTGCATAACTGAAACCTAAGAAATTTACCCTGGGACCTCCAAAGCGTCTGGCACGCCATCGGCATCCCTGTTTGCACAAACAGCAGGGTAGCAGTCGGTGCAGCTTGAATAGTCGATATCAACACAAGCAAAGGGAGCGACGGCAAGGCATTGATGATTGGAGGGACGTAAACCGCGCTGAGCAAATGGCAGGGCAGCAGCCGCCATAGTTTGGATGGGGTCTGCGTTAACACAACCAAAGCAAGAACGGGGCCGCGATCACAGCAAGAGTCAAGAAGCACTGCAGGCCTTGCCAGGCAGCGTGCTCACCGAGATGGCCGAGTTGCTTACATCAAGCAGGAGTGAGAGTGCCGACATGCAAACACTGCTTGCTAAGCCATAAATGCAAACAAGCCCGGCGGGCGTGATCATCAGATATGCCAACATGGCCATACGCTCCCAGATGGACAACGCTGAGACGATGTTCTTGCTGGATGCGGCTGCAAAAGCAGGATCCAGGGATCAGCATCTCTGCTTCACATCGCTGACAACACATCCCTCCCGACAACCGTCACAAATCCAGCAAGTTCGATAAATAAGATCCCCGAGCTCTCAGCATCCAGCCTCGACCTGCGCAAGACGTTTACATGCAACCTCACGTAGCCATAGGCAAGCGGTGGCAACTCAAAAGCAAAGGAAGGACGCTGGGCGTGCCCCGAAAGCCATAAGAGGCAAAGAGGCCGTAACAGTTCGCCCAGAGTATGATTTCGCAGCATGCAAAAATATCAAGTGCAATGCTCTCTCCAGTTGACTTTGCATCTCCAGACCCAATAACCCGCCCTTACTTGTTATCAATAAGTCCGAGAACCCGAAGCTGCAAACCTCCAACGTCAAAGTTAATCTTCAGCTGTAGCATGCGAAGAGCTGAATATTCCGTGGGAGTGTAGCTTAGCAGGAAAGTAATCCGCCTCAAGATGCCTGCTTGAAAAGAAAGACAGTCAGCTCTTTGGGTGTCCCCGGCCAAGCGATTTCGGGCTCTCCATGTAAACGTCCTTCGTGTTGCCTCGTTGGCGGAGTGCCTGGACGTGGGGTGCTTATGGTGAGGCTCGGAAGGGATCGGATTTGATATACAAACAGAATTTATACCCCCAGACGTCATCCTGACCTCCCTACGAACACCCTCACCCTAAACCCTGGCCTCAAACCTTCAATCCTAAACTTTTTAATTTGGCGCCAACGGGCTACAGTTTTCAGATCGGAGTTGTGTATGGAAGCTGTTAGCTCTCCGGGTATCTTGTATGCCCAGACTACCTGATCAACACCTGCGGGCGACTCTAAAACAAATGTTGATGACGCCCAGGCTCCCAGACCAAACAAGCTTGCTTTAGGCTTTAGGCGTCGTCAACCAAAAATCACGTTCTCTGGTTGGGGAGGGTTCAGGGCTAGCAGGTTTTGTGTATGGGGTGTGGATGTCGGGCTTCAGCGTTTCCAGTGTGTGTCTTGGGGGTCGAGGGGCGTCATTGTTCCGTGCGCAGAGCCTGGGACGACCTCAGGATCCTACTCTGCTTTTTTTTGAAGCAGACCTGACCTATGATTCTCCCAACGCCAAATTCATAAATCTGAAACAAGTCAGCAGAGGACTCCAGATACCCCAGAAGATGCTGCAGCATTACTATCCACAAGCAGATTAGAGCGCATTTCGTCCGGGGCATTGCCGTGATCAAGTACGCAGTCATCGCCCTACAGGCATACAGCCAGTTGACTCTGCACTTCTATCAGTGTGTGAAGCTCTATATCGCCTGCCACTTCAGCAAACTCCGCATACATGACATACACAGAATGCTTGAAGATTCCGTCTCCCTGTATACGGCCTGGGGGTTCCTGACCTCTGCGTTTTGTCAGGAAAAAAAAGCCTCCCTAAGCCTCAACCCCCCAACCCCGATGCTCGCCCACTCCCAAAGCCTAAGCGTGAACTTGGGGACTGAAGGACCTAAACTTTTTCTTGGTCAGTATCCAGGACCCTTGCCTTAGACTCCCTATCCCAAACGCCAAAACATCCTGCCCCAGAATGCTCTGAACTCCAACCCTGACCGCTTCCACTCAAACCTTTCAGGAAATGCAGCATGCTCGGCCTCAGTTGGCTGACTGAATCAGGTGGCCTTGAAGGCCAAGGCCACGGAACCCCTACCCACCTGCTCAGGGCATTGGTTGGATTGACGGATTTGCACGGTGGTTGGAGGGGATAGGGGATAGGGGTTACGGATAGCGTGCTCCAGAATTTGGGTTTACGCTACAGAGGCTTTGGGTTTGATTTAGCTGTCGGATGTAGCTGTCTATGCAAATCGTAGGGAGGTATATGCAGGACATCAGAGACTTCAGGCAAACCCCAAAATCATCCCTCGCGCGCAGACCCTGCTTCAGTGTCATGGTGCTTGGGCTTGGATGGCTGCGAAAACTCCCCTCTGGTGCACTTCCAGGGTTAAGGCTTCAGGTTCTAATTTCAGGGTCTGTGGCAAGGCTTTGCGTCCTACTACCTCAATCCCAACCCTGAGGAGGGCGGCTTCAGGTGTTAACTCTTAAGTCTAGGGTTCCGAGGTCAGCTTGTGACTCGCGAGGAATACTGTTAGCATGCAAGGATACCCTACCCTAAGATTGAAACATAAAAAGGGGCAGGCTTCCTCACCGCTCTCTCCTCAGCCTTGCATGGACCCTTAACCCTCAAACCGTGCCCTCAACCCTGAAGGGAAAGGCCACTATGGCCCCTGGAACCCCTGCACCTCAAAACAAGGGTTTAAAGATCCCACTTTGCTCCTGGAGGTACAGTACCCGGGCCCCGAGGAAAGCGAGCCTTGAACTTTCTGGCGGCCTGTCCGATAGGAATCAGGGTCGACGGAGATTTGAGACGTTAGGATTTGGGGGGGTTACAAGCTTAGATTTGAGCAGTCAACGGCTTCGGTCTTGGAGTTTGGGGTTGAGGGCTTCGAGTTTAGGGTGCAGATGGTTTTTGTGTGAATGTTGTTTTTTTTGGGGGGGATGGGATGATTTTTTGGGTTCGAAATTTGACGACTTTGTACTCGTAATTGCTGTATGAAGAATGTGGAGGGTCTCTGCGGGTATCAGGTCTTGAGGCGGCAAGGTCTTGGCCGTGATAGCGGCCTCTGCACGTATTACGTAACGTGTGTACACAGGGCTTGCAGAAGGCCCTGGAGGGGCATCTACAGGCACCTTCTCAAGATCTGGTTTTGTACGTGGCCTTCATCACTTTTGGCTTAGGGGTTCTATCCTGCCTTGAAGTGCAAGCATATGAAGCCGTTTCTGTTGTATGATAGCCGTGCGAACAACTGGGCACCAAGTGGCAGTTGGCGCTCCATGTTGTCCATCTTCATATCCAGAAACCTTGTCCCGCCTTCGCAGCATCCCGCTGCCATGGTAGCCACTCGCCACCACTGTCCAGTCACCGTCCTGCACCAAGGTCTGATAGGTCTGATTTGTCGGGTACAGGCATTGGGTTGGGGGAACGTTGCTGCACTAGCGGTCGCTTTAAACGGGCAAGTAAATGTGTGCAATGTTGAGGTTTCGCAGGCTTGGGCAGTGAGTCACTTCAATGACATGCAAGTTGTTTAGGAAAGCTCCTGTACAGCCCTCTTGTGCTTGACTCCAAAACCTTAGGCCTCAATTGTGAGGAGAGAACATTTGCGACAGAGACTAATCCAAGGAAGCCAATCCCTGCGGCAACAACAAAGCGAGTTTCGTGTCTAAAGGAAGCCAGTGAGCCAAGGCTCTGACTGGGCTTCCGAGCCTTTGCTTAGAAGCCTACCTGATCCTTGATAACAAGGACGTCCAGCCTGCGACTTCGTGACTGAGGCTTTGATTTTGGCAGGCCCTTCCTCATGAGATCCGGGTGCGCAGGTGTGCCAGCACGCAGGCCACCATGCAGCATCTCCGGGGCATGCGCACCATCATCACGTTTGCCTGGCATTGTGAAGCTCACATTGCGCAGCTTGCGCAGGTTCCTGAGAGACTGCACAACAATGTTGATGGGATAAACTATTGGCACACCATGAGGCTAGTTCCAAGCCCTGACATCCAAACACCCTGAAAACCTTATCCAATTCACCAGAGTGTGAGTTGACGAATTTTCTCACTGAGCCGAGAACTCAAAATCCTATCAGTAGCCTACAGCACTTCCACCCAAAAGGATCTTTTGTTTGGTGAAGAAGTCGTTGCGGTGGGCAGGAACCTATGCCCAGACCCTGCAGTTCTCAACTTTAAGTCGTAAACTCGACCCAAAATCCTCAAACAGTGATATTTTACTATTGGCCCTCGCACCCTGAAACCGATGGACCTTCCTGTAGGTCCCGGACCCTGCGCTGAAGGCCGTGTGACCCTTACAGCGAAGCCCTGAGCTAGGTCTCCTCCGTGTGTACTACCATCGTCTCCTCACTGGAATCGGGAGAGACGTGCGGGAGAGAGGCTTGTCGGGGTGAAAGAGGAAGCCCTAACTACATTGCGAGATACTTGGAAGCGGCATTTGGCGCCAGATGTAAGTATGATGTGAACAGCCTACAGCTGCATAATTAATGAATACGAGGCAATACTATCCACCCGGCAGGGGTCAGGGTTTCGATTTACAATTGAAGGTTTGCGGGCTTGAGGAACTTGGAGGCTGTGAGCACATGGCTGATACAAGGTGCAACAACACGAGCTGCACATGATTCCAAAGAGCTCCTCTGTGGATCTGTACGCGTTGCCCCGTTGCAATGAGTCGAAACCCATGTACAATCCGCTTTGTCATAAGAAATCACAGTGCTTTGGCGTTGGCATGTCTCCTAGATTTTTCATGCGGCTACACCTCTTCAAAATTTTGCCAATGACTATTTTTGGGGTTTCTTCCGTGATGGGCCCTTCTTCAGTGTGGGGTAAGGTGAAGGTTCTCAGGATTGCCAAGATTTCTTGCAACTGCATCAGCCGTTACCCCCAAGACTCAATCGCGTTGTTTGACTGGAGCTTCATGTGAGTGCAAATGTTCCAACGGTACCTTCAGATAGAAATAGACATACTATGTCCAATCATGATCCAGTTGGTGTTGTTGCCAGTTTTGGCTCGCCCAGAGTACGTAGTATAGCACCAGCATCGGGAAAACCCCCCATAACACGTGCGGGCTCTATGCAACCAATGATCCTGATGGAAGGTTTCAGTGTCTCCACCTGACTAGAAATTGTAAAGCAGAGACCTCATCTAGACATGTTGAAGAGACGCTCACGTACACGCGATACAACATCCAGGCAGCCAACCTCAAGCCCTAAAGCCTTAACACGAAACATCCCAAACCCTAAACCCCTAGCCCGAATTCCTGAACTCAAATCCAACATCAAAGCCTAAACCCCAATTCCTAACTCCTGAATCCTCAGCCTGAAGCCCTCGAATCCTGAAAACCCGCACTTCACGAGGCGGTCCTGGAAGATGCCGGCTTTGCACAGCAGCCACATGAACTCAGGCGCCATAGGGTCCAAGACATTCTCAGCAACCTGAAGTGCTGAGCTCTTCTTAGGGTTTGGAAGCAGTGTGGGTTTTGGGACTTTGGGTTAGCGTTTCGGGTTCAGGCTTGCGGGCAGGACATGGAGTTTAGGGCTTTGGGCGTTGGATCTACCGTTGGGGATTTCGGAATTCCGCGGTTACGAAAACATCCCTCAGTAGTTGCCCTTGTGCATTTGGCCCATAACCATCGTCCGGCACTCTACTCATGTCTACAATACACCGTGGCCACACACCACTAACTGGTGAACCAATACTTGCCTGGGCCTCATTCCCCTTCAACGGCTTTCTCTTCGATATATAATTATACTTACTCGGCCTTAGCATAACAGAAACTGGGAAATAATTCCAGCCATGACCGAGGTCTGACCGGGTAAAGAAGAAAGATTGTGTTTGACTACATTAGCTGTCCTGCAGCCGGAAAATGCCGCGGAGGACTGGATAATTTGGAGTGGATGCCCCCTTGACCCCCATGAACCATTGCTTTAAAACAGTCCAACACCCTGTTCTGGCCCCCCGAACCCCCAAGAGGCGCATTGCATGACCTTAGGCTTTTCCCGGGCTTCCGCACAACCACAGCTCCATCTGCCAGAAGATTCAGCCTCGGCCAGGCACTCAGATTGAAGGGTAGCGTGTTTCAGCGCTCAAGTTCAAGAGCTTGGTTCTTTGGAGCTTCCCTTGAGGGACTTTGGGGCTGGTTTCTGGGCTTGGAAGAAGAATCTCACTCCCAAACAGAATCCTCCCGCGCAAACATGAAATGCTGCGCTGATGTGGGGGCACGGTATTAGGACTATTCGCTGTTTGGAACGCAGTGCCTCTTGGTCTGGAAGGGACCTGTATCCGTCTGATTTTAAGTTTTTGTTGGGAATCAAGCATATAGCTTTGGGAAGTTGTCTTTGCAGCACGCCTTTGCTCGAACTACGCGGAGAGTACGCAATCGTGGGCTGCAGCTTTTGAAAATGGAATGGCTTTCTAGATTTGAAGGGTTCAGCTGGGTGTACCCATTCAATCTGCACGTCTTTGTGAGGGCTTCAGGCCCGTGAACCTGTACATTTACGTGTCTCTGACAGATGCCAGGACTATGCCTAGCTAATTACCTGCAGCACAGTAACTTCCGCACAATGCCTTAACCTTATACTACCCGTTACTGCCCTTCCCCTGCACAAGTGAAGAATGTGTAAATGACCGCAAATTTAGCAACCTCAACCTTACCAATGCCACAGTCCCAAAAAGCTGTCAAAAACGTGGGCTTTCAGATTCACAAAACCCTTCTAAACCTGAACGCCGACGCTCTCGTTCGTACATCAATGAAAGATAACGATTGAACAATGACTAAATTGAAGTCATACATGCCTAGTGCGCTGAGGGCGAAACGTTGCTTTCGGGCGTATTTCACCACCAATACAATCTTCCACAAATAATCCTTGGTCCTAAGTGCCCTCGCACAAAACATGTCCTCTTGCAGCTCTTACATCATACCGAAACACATGATGTGAAGGATCCCGGAAATTGACTCATAATCCACCTCAAGGAAGGCCTGCGGGGCACTGGTTTCTGTCCATACTGCCATTCTTGTTGCCATTCCTCTGATTCGAGCTATGGCTGCTACATCTTCCACGTGTCTTCCTGCTGCTACTCTCTGCTGCTCTAAGTCTTTTTCGTCCTGCTCCACCTATTCATCCTTGCTGCTCCTTCTCTGCAATTCCAAGTCTCAATAGCATGAGAAACATGCAGCAGCAATTGCAACATCTCCACAAATGACGCAATCAGTCTTGTAGTGCCATCTTCGAAATGCTGTCAATGGGGACTCTGCAGGGATGTTAATGACTGTCAATGAGGTGAACAGCGCACATGATACGGATATTCGGTCGGGCACTTGTAGTCTAACGATGACCTGACTTTTACCAACCCAGGTATCATGAACCTAAGTGTGTGGTTTACTTGTAAAGTCCGGGGCTTTTTGGGTGTCGGCTAAGGCATCTGCCCCTCCATCCTGGCCAACTCATCTTGGTACTCGGTGCCTGGAAAGCTGAGCTGAGGTTTAAGGTACAGGGTTTGGGGTTCATGCGTTGGGTGATGCTCACAGTTAAGTCCTCGCATACATAGACCCAATGATGCCACACAACACTGACCGCAAAACTTTGGAAGGTTAGATGTGTGGGCTTTTCTTCAGTCTTCAGATGGTTCCAACTCTGGTCTGCTTTGTGGGGCTGAGTTGTTTTGTTCAGGGATGGCGCGCCAATCAGCTATGACGTGTTGGACTACACCATAAGATGATATAGTTTGACACACGGTAGACATGAAGAAAACACCCCCAACGATGATGGCAGCTTCAGATACCGGACTACAGACTGAGATTTGTGGTATCGAAAGCCAAAATACTGAGGTACATGGACTGGTAGTGTACTGGCACCGTACTTCCCAGTACACAGTGGAAAGAAAGTGGTGCAAGATTTCTCCATCCACCTAATCACCAAAAGAAGATGCAACTGCTATCACTACTGCAACCACTGGAATTGTGGATGCTATCCATCTGATCTGATATGCTGCTATCCTTTGCGCGTTGTCAGTTGCACACCATCAATGCTGCATGGCAGCTTTTGTCGTCGCATTCGCGCACACTGCGGCCAATCACCACGGAGAGGGGTGTGAGGTAGCTTTAGAGTTCTTTCGAGTGACTATAGTGAAAGATTTGCGGGCGTGTTTCAAGCAGGAATGGCCCTCGTCACCAGTCATAGCACGGAAGTGCCAAAAGGTACAACCAACTGCACTCCCATACGTACCTTCCTATATTGTGCGTAGTAATGCGTAGCTCCAAATCTATTTAGTGCACTCCTGCGGCATTTAGGGGATGTTGTGCGGGAAGGCGTCCCATAGTGGATACCCCGTGATCTGTGTTCAAGGTCTCGGGTTATAGGGTTCTCCTTTACAATCTACCAAGAGCTTTTTCTTGCGAGGGTCTTGGGCTCCCATTTATCAGTGCACCCCGACCCCAATACCCTCAACCCTGCATGATCCTCACCCCCGTGACCCATCATCAGCGAAGACTTGCGATTGTTGTCAGGAAAACTGGTCAAGTTTCTACAGAGGAATAAGCTGGGCACCTACGGACTCTAAGCTCCAGCCCTCCAAACCCAGCGTCCACCAAAGGACAGTCTGGGCTCTAAATCCGACGGCAAACTCGAAAGATCTGGAAAGCCATTCACCACGTCGGAATTTAGCATTCGTGTTGGATCCGTCCATGTACGGGCCATCTATCGTAATCGTTGCCCTCTTTGGGACCACTTCGGCATGTCTCGTCGAAGAAAACGCTCAAGGAGCCGAGGATTTGAGCGTTCCTAGCCCCCGTCTTATACACATGTACTGCTAAAGCGGCTTTCCAGGTCTAACTCGCGGCCTTGGAAATTTGCCAACTGACAACTCAGGGGCCAAACGCCCAGCATTCCCAAGGCACTTACACCTACTTTCAGAGGTTTAGGGTTTATTGAGCCCTAGCTCGCTCCCCAAAATCCTAGACGCATGAACCCTAAACCTCTTCTTAAACATTATCATCTTCGCGCTGCTACTCGGGGCAGCAAGCGGCGCCTTGGCTCAGGTGCTATCTAAGGTTCTTAATGCAATCCCTTCTCCCTTGGGATATACAGGAGTTCCCTTTTCAGAGGCTACAGGGACATGTGTAGGGTTTGGGGTTTGGCGAGTAGTGTTTGGGGATGAGTGATGATAAGAAGAACAAGGGCTTCACCAAACATGGGTGCCGTACAGGAGTCTACAGATATGGAGGGATAAGGAGGCGACTATAACCTGATAAGAACTGTGTGGAGATTAATTCAAGATACCCTTCTTCTGTATAGCATGACACAACCCACACCGCTCAAATTACCTATTCCCAAAAAACATCCCATGTGACTATACAAATGTCAGCAAGCCGATGATACAGGGGCGCGGGTCTTCTACATTCGAGGGAAGGGATATACATTCGAGGGAAGGGATGAACTCCGTCTGGGTAGAGCTGAGCCCTGCAAGACTTTTGGGACTATAGCCGCTGAAGCCCAAAGCTCCAAGCCCTCAACCCATAGAGACATGAACCCCGAAACCGCAAATCCTGAGCCTTTACAACCTAAACCCTACAAGCCCTGCAACTGAAGCCATGCGACGCGACACGCCTCAGATGTTTTCCGTTTGCTGCCGCAACGCGCGCGACTCGGCTAACAACGCCTGGACTGACCTAACGCAGGATAAGCTTGCGGCATTGGGGTTTCGGAATGAGGGAGTACGTTTGAGGGTTGAGGTACAAGCTGGCCAGTGAAGTGATCACTGCCCCTTAGTCCCTATGTAATAATGGAAAGAGAATATTGTCTGCAGCCCAGCTAGGTTTCTATGTACAATATATGCAGGTCCCAACGCTTCAAGGGTTTCATCGGTGCTTGGACTAAATTATTTTCAGGGCCAGATGAATGGACCATTCAAGCTTGAGGCTGAAAACACAGCCAATGCAGCGCCTGGGGGCGTAGTGCTAAGGACAGGGGCGCCGATATTTTTGATCAATCTGGCTATGCTCCATGTATAGCGCCCTGCACAGGGACCAACAACTGAGAAATCTCCCCTGCGCCCCTCTTCCACCTCCAAACAACATCTCTCCTGCGTTGCCTGGCTCTAAAACCTGAAAGCCTGAAGCCATAGACCCTAAAACCAAATCATAAATCCACAAAATTGAAGCCCTAAATCCTAAAACCTACGACCGCCCTGATTCTCCAAACATTTTCGGCCAAATCAACGATTGTAATACCTGAAGCAAAGCCAGTATGGAAGTCAATATGAGCAGCATTTGAACTGATTTCAGGTGATGACCGTAAAACTTGCAGTGTCGCCTGGGCTTTATAAGCTTAAACTGGCCTAAGAACGTCATCACCAAATCCTATGCCCTTGACCCCACGTCTCGAATCCCAAAACCGCAGAAAATGAACTCTGAACCCCCAAGTCTACATGTTCCAATTGTCCCCTTAAAGGGTCCCTGATCGCTGGAATTTGTCCAGGCGACATTTCGCGCAGGAAGACAAGCCCACGAGCCGCCCGGATCAAAGGCGAGGGATGCTTGTGGAACCACTCGTAGCCTTGCGGGCTTAGGTTATGCTTGGCCCAGGATCAAGGGTTTTAGGGTTGTAGGGTTAAGATCAAGGGTTGAGGGTGTAGGCTTTAGATTTTACGGGGCAACAACCTTCGGGTTTTGGGTTTGGCGCTTAGGGTTAGCCCTGGTGAAGGAATGTAGTAGTGCGTGGGTCTATTTAGAAACAGGATGGGTCAGGGTGTAAACGTCATACTCCAACAAAGAGCCCCTAGACTCAGACACTCCCATAGAAAAGCTGTCTCCAGAATTTGCGCGTTCACTTCTGGAGTGCCCATAATTAGGATGAACATCCAAGACTCCCAAGCAGGTTTCGATCATGTCATACTGCTGAACCTGGCATTCGCGCGAGACGTGGGGGTACTGGTTGTTAAAAATAGGGCCCTTCAGAGACAAGAGGGATATAGAGGGGCTACAAACGAATGTAGGCGTCCTGCTCAAGGATTCTAAAGAATGTCTTTTTTCTTTGTAATGGGGGTCGCAATGCTGGAGTGTTTTGGGATTCTGTTTCAGGATCTGAGCGAGATCTTGCATCAATTATAAGGATCTCCCCCCAAACTGTATTTCCCAGGGTATGGGGTATGTAAGGTGGTACAAGACGCCTGGGTCCAAAGCAGGCATCGAACCTTCTGAAAATGCAATCACCAAGGCAAATCCCACGGAACTGGCACTTGTCGAGTCTGGGGGTGGGGAACACTGTTAGGCTTCAGGGCCAGGGTCTAGAGTCAATGCTTTAAAGTGTCACATAATATAACCTCTTAAGCCGTTCACTCAACAAGTCAAGGGTGCAGGCCTTAGGATTTGGGGCTAAGGCTGCGCCAGCTCAATTTGATAAAGCAAATTGACATCCGAAACAACGTCAGTTTGGGACCGTTGTTGAAACGAAATTGGGGGCCAGGTCGGACGGGGCCACCAGAAGTCACACAGATTTGGGGCTTTGAAGCTCTGAAGCTGGAAGAAGGGCGCTTGCATGGCACGCGAATCTTCTTTCTCCAAGTGTTGTGAGATTCCTCCCATGATTGCCTTAAGAGGTTCCACCAAAGTATGCATACAGCTATTGTCAGTGGCATTGCAGTGTGCAAAGGGCTGCCCGGAGTACAAAAGCAATGTTAAGGGGCCTGCTTGTAAAAGCCATCTTTTTCGCACTGATCCGTTCCCTGCAAGTAACATCCTCGACCCTAAGCCATCAATATGCATCCAGACTCGCTCCTACATTCATACATGCATACATACAGACAGACCACTGCTGGCCTTGCCTGGCAGAACCCTACGGTCTCCCAAAAAAACTTGGGACCCAAAGAATCCATAGGCAACTGCTTGTGTCCAAAGACCATATTGCATAGGTGCATGGAAAACATTGAAGCCATACGCCCTGCACCCAAAATCCCTTAAGCTTAGACCCTCGGGCCTGCACGCGCTGGCTCATGGCGCAGAAAGGGCCTTGGATCTCATAGGCCGGGAACCTCAGCACTCTACATATTGGGTGGAGGGCTTTGGGGCTTCGGGTTGAGACTTCAAGGCTGAGGGATTTTGGTTCAGGGCTTACGCTTTGCGGATCTGATATCTTCTAGGTGTTCAAGAGGGCAGCGACCGGACAATCCCCAGTACTCGCTGATTCTTTGCTTGGAAAATGTATAACATTGGCATTGGCATACATCCAAACTACGCCTCAGTCCTCAACACTGAAGACCGAAGCTTTTTTCAGATATGTGGTACCTGATAACGGGTGCTTGCAGATAAATGTAGACTGATGAAAGTTCCACCGTGTTCTTGCAGAACCCGAACGCTGAACAGGGGCAATATTAACCCCCAACCTCGAAACCCAAACCTAGCTAGCCTCAAACCCTAGACCTTAAGCCTCAAAGCCTAGAACTTAAGCCCAGAAAGCCTTATAGACACCAGACCATAAAACGTACAGGTCACCGACACTTGGCCGGGACACTCGGCATCCCGCTGGGATTCAAATGAACTCAGGAACATGTGGTTCCTTTGGTGTGCAGGGTTTTGCTTAGGTTTAAGGGCTTAGGGTGGAAGAGTCTGGGGTTTAGGATGTAGGGCATTAGGCTTAGGCTCTGAGCTTTCCGGAAGGTTGCCTGGATTGTGTAGGCGTTGCGGCGATTTGGGTTATGCAGGACTCTCGAAAGAGCTAAGACTATCCTTTGACAAGTTCCCTTCTAATACGTGTACAGTTGGGCTTGGAGTTTAGGTCTAACTGCAATATCCTGCCAGAGAAATATGGTGCTAAGGTTTTCATGTTGCATGCTAATTGCGTGCTGCTGGGACTTGTGATCCTAAAAACTCGATTGCATTTAGGGCTAGCAAGTGTATACGTGGGCATTTCTCCAAAAAGAACCCCCGTGTCATCCCCCCATGAAGTCTGCATGATCATGTCCCTCGGAACCCGGCATGTCCTCAGGGCCCTCCGATTTCAGAAACCTCCAGTTAAGACCCAAAGTGCTGGAGCTGAAATGCGTTGAGGCTTCGTAGGGCTTTCGGAACCATCCTAAACCCTGAGCCTGAACCTGCAAACCCAAACTCATCACAGGATGCAATTCCAAGCAGAGACTCAAGGTGGAGATAGTCTGAAGCGAGACTGGGATGATGGAGCTCACTTCCTTGTTTCAGTCTGGCAGGGGGTCGGTCAAGAGTCAAGTTGAGGGCGTTTGGGTGGGCTTATGGCGAATAACTTGGTACATAACGTGTTGGGCCACCAATAGAATTCCTTGCCAGAGTTCAGAGTTTAGGGTCCTGCAGCACATTTGTACATAGATACTTCGGGCCCAAAGAGCTTGACAATTCGGCACCCTGTGGACCAAGTTGTAAGGTCCGCTCCTTAATTCAGGAGCTATGAAAATTGTGTGCAAGTTGTCGTTTAGGGCAGAGTTTACCGTGTAGGGTTTGGGGTGAGGGATTACGCATCTTAGCAGGGGTTCTTGTAGCCTAGACTGAAAAGAGACAAAAGCTTCTCACTGGATGGTCATGTCATTGTCCGGTTGGATAGGCGAGCGTTGGCACTGAACGCCGCGGTGCATACCCCTCAAAACCCTAAACCTCAAAACCCTAAACCCGCATGTGCGTCGGCGAGGCTCATGTGGCTCAAAACGGAACCAAACGTTGCGATAGCCCCAAACAGTGATGTCCTCTCGTCCAGTCTCCTGGGCAGCTGTGTGCTCGGGCTAAGTTTAGATGGAATAGGCGGGAATTGGCTTACTACAGCAGTCCTCATTATCAGGGTGACATGCGGGCCAATCTAGGGATACGATCCTTACCTCACAGCAAACCCCAAAACTCCGCCAGAAGCAAGATGAGCTAGAGCAAACGTTTATAATACTTAAGCAGCTCAAGCGGACCCGTGCAAAAAACAAATCCAGTGAAACGCCCCCACCGCTCCTCAGCATACTGCTGCAATGCTGCCGTGGCTGCCTGCAGTACCTGTCCGTTGTGCTAGGGCTTCTGATTCAGGCCTTTGTGGGCTTAAGGGATCCAAGCTATGTCAATTGCAGCTCTTGATAATATCTTGCTCTAACGCTTCGGAACAACAACTAGTGTTCCCCGGAAACATTGGGAACACTCACTGGGAGCTCATGGTCTAAAAGGCTTGCGCTGCATGGCGTGAGGAACAGATGCCAGAAGGCGGAACTCCACAATATGGATGCAAATGCGTTCGGGAATTTCTCAGCATCAGGTGCGCTGTACATGCCCGCCAAAACTTCTATGAACCCTCACTGTATACACAGTATCGCCACAATTGAAGAAGGGTTCCCCACACTTCCCATGGTGCTTCGGCTTTGGCAAAGAAACATCTTTTGGCCGATGGCTTGCTCTTGGAATAGAAGGCAGTCACTTAAGTTTAAGGTGAAGGTTAAGTGTTCGGGAGGAGCTAAGGTTTGAAGAAGGGACGGTATGCAATTCCGTATATGTTTAGGCTGTTTAGGGCCTCAAAATCTCTATGTAAGGCCAAGAAGCTTAGACTCTCCACCTCCCAAGACCCCAGCAGTTCAGAGACACAAACCCTCCACACCCTGAGAACCTTACAAACCCAACCGCCCCACCCCTCCCACACAAGTCCCCACGCCCTTACCCTGCACCCTACTATGAGGCTCTTTTGTAACATACTTGGAGAGGAGGATTTACGTCCCGCCACCTCAGAAACTCTGAGCCCCTAATCCGCCAAAGGAGCAACCCCAACCCCCAATTTAGGATCCTGCTATACTTAATCAGATGATAGTTTTGAAGTCCTAGTTTGGGGGTTGGAGCCAAAGATCCTTTCGTTGCTAGGTCCAATGATCTCCTGAGTGCTTAAGACTGAATAAGGGCACGAACCACGGGCAGCGTGATGCGGACTCCGGCAATGCACTGCCGGCATGTTCAATTCCATTGGCCCATTCCCTGGAACAGGACGGAGTCCTACACTCCAATCAGCCCCTTGCAAATGTCTCTAAGCCCTAATTAATACAAACCTAAAGTCCCGGACTCCCCCAATTCCCAAAGCCCTCAACCCTCAACCCCTTCAGCCTTGTAGTGAGTGTCGGGACCCGAGGCTTCAGGATCCAAAGCCACGCTCACTACGTGTGGCTCCACTTCCCTCAAGAGCTTCCTCAGCTGTCACGGATTGGGGTTTGGGGCTTAGGGTCGGACGTCAGGCTTTGGTGTATACGCGTAGTTTTAGGTTCCGGGCTGCAGGTGTCTATCGAGTTTCACAAATGACGACAGCCTTAGCCAAGGGCCCTTTTGCATGGCCCCCGAAGCTGACAACCTCATGCATCGCAGGTTCCAGAAAATTGGACCTTTGGAATCCCAGATAATCAAAATGGAATCTTTTGAGCCGCCTTCAATGCAGGGAAGTCTTGCAGTCTATGCACTTATTCGTTTTGGGGATTCATCAGGCCATAACGTTTAAACACTTGGCAATAATTCAGGCGTTCCACGCTAAGCGTCAAGATGGGCAACACATCCCGCTGCTGCGTGGGTTCCGGAGCGAAGATATCTGCCGTGTAGAATCCTTTGCGCTTGCCGTAGCTTCGGGTGAGTTGTGGGCATCATGTGGTTTTAACGGGTCAAAAATGTTGGCTTGAGGGCTGTGAAGTCTTGATTTCATTCTTGAGTTAACAACCTGACATTTTGGATTGCCCAGCACTGCAGCTCAGAGAACAAGCTTGTAGAGTTTTCCTCTGAGCGAAGAGGATTAAATCCTGGACCACGAACTTAACTCCGTGGCCAATATTGCCTTCCAGGTTTGCTAAGGGGAGGAAAACCTTGCGCTGCCTGTATTCACAACCCCGCCTTCTTCAAAGCGTCCTTCTCAAAAGAAGTGGGATTTATAGGGTTGGGGGTTTGTGGTTCAGGGCTTCGGCGTCTCCTTTTTGATAGTGGCTTTGACCGGGATCCTACGACGGATCAAGGAGATCATGCAGCACTTGCTGTAATTCCTGATGATTGGGGAGTAAAATACGCTGCAAGATTCCTCCATCCTCAATGAGCATTCTGAAGAGTGTAGGGAGGGATCCGTATCTTGAGCCATAGCCCTGAGAAGCCCCTACGCCTGCAGATGGACATGCTTGATGGATACGCTCACCTTCACTTCTCGCCGTCCATGCTCCTTCCCAACCTGATGCCCTTCCACTGATGAGTGGGGCTGCATGTTTGAAAGTTAACCCCAAGATGACCTATTCTACCTCCTGGGCTCCTTTTGTACAAGCTTGCCATGCAGCTTTCTCAAAACAGGGGGACATCTTGGACCAACGGAATACAGATAGTGTCTTCAGCATCTAGAGTTGTTACCTTACAGCTCATACAGAACCTGAAAGCAGGATCCTTGAAGACTACTGTGCGCGTAGCTTGGGGGCCTTTTGGAGTTTCATGCTAATTTCTTTCAACTAGTGATTACTCACCGCCGACCTCCCCCTAATCACAAATATTCCAAATCCAGTACCACGACATATTGGCTCCAGCTTCTTCCTGCACGTACACGTCTGAATCCTACTCTAGCCGCTGTACATTTTCTCCGACACCCCGCGCAGCTACTCCTAAACCCCATGCTGCTTGGTGGTTCTCGCTTGTTTTCTGTGCGGTTCGGCCTTGCCGCCCAGGAACCCAATCTCAAATGCGAGATGTTGGGCAGCTGCCAGCCAATATAACCCCAAACGCATTCAGCTTCAAACTCCCGGCAGGCTCCTTTCCTCGGCTTTAGAACTTGGGGACTTTAGAGTGTAGCAGTCGAGAGTACTTACATTAAATGAGTCTTGATGGTTCAGGAACGGGGGCTGGGTTTGATGCCTGAACTTCCTGAACTTGCCCGGCTCAACGGGAAGCTAGTATGACAACTGGAAAAGAAACAATTTGGGGAAACTCCAAGGTGGGCATTGTCAGCCCTGAACTAGCCATCAAATCCCAGACCCCAACCCCCTGGCCCGAAACAAGAAGTAGTAAATCCGCAGCCCCTAAGCCCCAACCTCTTCACAAAAAGCCTTTTTTGTTTGAACGGGTGTCTAGGGATTGGGCTTGAGGGCTTGGCGGCTTTGCGCAAAGCCTCCAGGCTCTAGCCTGGGCTTTGGTGTCTCAGCTAGAGGTCGGGGTTTCAGGGCAACTTGCAGCCTAAACCTTTGAAACCCAAGCCCTGTAGAAGCCCTTGGATGGTTTCATGTCCCAGCATCAAGGTTTGAACTTCCTTGACATCTTTCTGGCCGGCATACCTCAGCCCATGTTGTCAGTTGACCCATGGAAAACAGGAGCAGTCACCTCAGGATTCCGCGAAGATTGCACCATGATGTTGCCCGCCGCTTATTTGGGGAAACAATGAGGCCGCCCAACTGCACACCAAAAGCTGTCGCCCGTGAACACGACCCGAACCATACATCGACATGCTTCTGAGATCTCCCTACCCATACCTTTCATCCGCAAAAACATCTGCGCCGCTTGCCCTGATTTCCGAGCCATGACTCATGACAAAAAAGGCAGGATATTACAGTGACTATAGCCTGCCATTGTAGAGCATGTTAAACTTCAAAGCTTGCCTTCCTGTGTGTGAATGCCAAGGAGACTGGCAGGCACCACGTTTGACCCCGAAGCACTGATCCCTGCACACCTATTTCTCTAGACCCTATACATAAAGCCCCTGCGCCGTGAGCCCTTAGAGCGTCTTGTCAGCCCCTGTACCGAGACCCTCAACCTTAAAGCAACTACCAAGCAGAAATCTGGTTGCTGAGTTGTGAAGTAAGACTTCAGCGTTGCCACGCGGGCTAACAGCTTGGAGGGGTCGCCATTACCTCAAGAACTGACTTTGCGGTTTAAGGTCTGGAGTTCAGGTTTATGTTCACGGTTCCCGTCTTGGGTTTAGGATTCAGACATGCGGCCTAGGGGTTTCAGGAGGGTTTTTAACAACGCTCATAGCTCAGGGAACGCCTCTCAGAAATACATGCTCCCTCAATGTTCCCCCCAAGCTAAAATTGTGGCTACGACAAGCTAATGTAGATGTCAAACAGATTGGATGCTATTGATCTCACAATATTTCTCGAACAACGCGGTGTGTTTCCTAAACTTCGGCAGGCCCTCACAGTCAAGCCTGAGCTTCACGACGCGCAATTCAAATATATTCGCTCTGGAGGCCTTCCCGCCTTCCCCAAGTAGCAGTATTTCTTTTGAAAGGTGGTTGGGTGTCGGTACCTTTGCTAGGAGGTCCAGCGATCAAGACCTGTAGCACCCCTCCCCTATTCTTCAAATGCCTACATGCAAAAAAGGCCTGGTACCTGGAAGCGCGGAACGCCGACGTACACGCCAAATACATTCCAAACTACTGACCCCAAGAAATGAATGCAAGCTTCAAATTCTTAGAACCCCAGAAATACTCTTTTGATGTTCGAGTCACTGGCGCTGTCTCCGAAGATCACAGTCAGATTGTAAACCAGCCTGCATAATATCGCTTCAGGTGCATAGGCCTTCTTTACCCGAACTTCCTCGACCACCCTAGGTTTCACCTAAGACGCCAAGTTATCCAAGCAGCAGGCTGTTCCCAAAATCCTAGGCACATCTTGGATACTTCTGCCCGAGAATGAGCATCCCAGTGCCTCAAGATGCTACTGTACACCACAGAGACTGCAGGAAGAGTGTTTTGCAGATTTTGTTGCCAAGCTCTGGATCTGCTACTCGAAGCCATGGACTGCACTGAAACTTGACCCTAGTTGGCAAAATCCATTTTGACCGGGTTCATGATTCTGCAGCCCAGGGTCCTTCAGTGCCAAGTCTCCCCTATCTTGCATTGCCAGTTTCTTTTCCAGTCCGGGATATATGAACGAACCAATACGCATCATCACTGGCATGAAGCATGTCGTGAGGCTGGGTTCAACTTAGCCCAGTAATCTGAAGCTCGAAGCCTTCAGTCCTGGAGGCTCAAGCCCTAAACCCGAACCCTATCGAATCTAAGCCCCAAAGCCCAGAACTGAGATGTGATTTCAACTAGGTTTACGCACATGGCCTCCTTGCAGCCCCTTCATCACGCAGCTCGTCATCTGCGGCTGCAATGCCATCGAGGAATCTGGATCTTCTTGATTGAGCTTACGCTTTTAAAAGTGCATAGGACTTATAGTGGACTTTAACGCTTTCGGGGTTTACGACGTGAAGGCTTACAGGAGTAGGTTTTAAGGCTCTGGATGGAGGTTTGGGGTTCAAGATTTGTGATAATCTTGTTTTAGCGCATTAGGACCCGCGTGGCTTGTCAAAATATCTGCCCTATGGGCTTGTGTTTCTGGTGGAAAGCACACCCATGTGCAAACTACTGTATATGATTGAACTTTCATTTTTCCATGCCAGATCCGTCCAAAGGAGGGCCTTGCGTTGCGAAGGGAGTTTCAGGGGCCCGAAAGACCCTGCGTGCCTATCTCCACACACTTTGGGCTATCGGATGCTATAGCAGACTGCAGGTAGGACAATTCTGTCCTTGTGAAAGGACCCAAAAGTTGCAATATTAACAAACGTAACGCTCTTCTCGTATGGCTTCAATCCTCAATGATAAGCGTGTTTTGGTATGGTGGTCCTATGTGTTCGTTGCAAGAGTTTCAAGCCAATTGGGGATGCTGATTTTCCGTGTTCCGGCCCCCCTCCCCCCCAATGGTTAGCGAGAGGGAGGGCCCCACTAAAGTTGAAGAGTCATACAGCAGAGCATGTACCACCCATAACATGGATAAGCCCTGTTGTAGCAGCTTCCACCCTCATGCCGAAGCATACAAAGTTTGCTGCTTCCCCTCATGCAAAGCGACTTGCGGCTAGAGGGGTTTAGCATTTAATGTTTATGGCCTTGGCGTTTTGAGGCATCAAGTCAAAGGGGTTTAGGGTTCCAAGAGAGCTAGCACAGCTAAACCTGGCCATCAACAAGCTGTGACAACATTCTGCGCCGCAGCCAAGAAGCTTCCAAACATCTCGGCGTCGGAAGTCCAGAGACTCAGGTCCGCAACTGAAGTAGCCTTCCTTCAGTTGTGGCTCTTCAACTTGGAGTCCAGCTGTAAGGTTTTAGGCTCTGCGCTTCGTACTCACAATTTCCAAATTGAGCTGCTAAGCAAACCGAGGCCTGGGTGGCTTTCAGGGTCTCAACAAGCTTTCTGGTTGTCAGTGGGGATGCAGGAGTGGCTCCCCAGTGTAGACACTATAATCCCCAATGGTGTATTATAGTAGCTTGCATGTTCCTCTACTGACAACCAGCCAAAAAATCCTCCGATCTGGAGACGTGCCGTACAGCACCAAGACCTAAACCCCAGATCCCATACAATCCTGACTCATAAAGCCGGATCATTAATCTCCAATCTGAAACAACCAACTACACACCCCAAAACACCAACCGCCAACACCCCAAACCCTAACAGATGCTTCGGAAAGTCAGGTGTCCTTCGCTAATCGCTGAAAGGTTGGCGTCGCCAGGAAGCTCTCAACGCGCGCCAGCATCTTCAGCATATGGGCGTTGGAGACCTAATTCAGAGTACAGCTTTTGGAGCACAGGGCTTGGGTTTTTGGATTTAGGATTTAAGCCTTCTGGGGTTCACGCCTTTGGGCTTGGGGTTGGGGGGTTGGTATTTTATAGGGTTCGACGTAAGTTTTATGGTTTGGGGTCTAAAGCTTGAGCAGAGCACCCAAAAGCTCCTGTGCAGTTATTTTGCTGCTCATGCACACTAACCCTCCCAAATTCCAACTTAAACTTGCTAAAGCAAAGCGACTGAGTTAAACCCGCTCGTTGCGCACACAAAGTGGTGCTGGTTGGATGACACGCGCGTGTTGCGCATAACCGCCGGCAGGTAGCCCAGCATGATATCCTCACAGAAGAGCCATTTGCTCTTTCTTAGTTGATGGAAAGGATGGTCCCTTTACAAAGGCCAACACATCCGTGCAACCCATGCCCCGAACTATGCTTAGGGCTCTACAGTTTCGGTCCTCCTCTATACGAGCATGAAGCCCCCAAAAAGGGCCCTGCGAACCTATCTTTTGAAAAGATGATTCTGTCAGGATTGCCTGCTTGGGAATGGGAAGGGGTCCAAGCACGAGCCGTAAAAGATCCCTGGAGTCTGGGGTGTCTGTCTTCTGCGCCTTTTCAAATGCAAGTGGAGTCACTCAGCATGTACTTATGTGTGTGGGACTGGGGTTTTCAGATGAGGGTTGCTCAGAATGCTTATTCCTATACACCATATGTAGCCAACAGTTCACTGAAACAGAAACATGGTGGCTTTCAAGACACTGGTAAGCGTCCTCAGTCTCCACATGTATTCCTCACTTAGCAGTGGGCCTATGCGCCCGAAACCATACCCCATGGTACCTTCACTCTGCACACGAAACAGCCTTCCGCAGGCTGAGGGTTGACAGGTCTTGCAAGCCTTAGACCAGTAGACCGGGTCTTTAGCAAGGCCGGTAGATACCGATACTGTTGACCCAAGGAAAGCACCCAAATTCATATCCAGGGGTTGGCAGTAATCACCTATAGAAAAATTCATAATGGAGCCACTCCTTTCATGGCTATTGAGCTGTATGCAGGTATGTGGGAAATAAAAATCTGTACACCCCGCTAGAATGCCAGAGCCCCGAAGCAGAGGAGTTCCAAAAAGAGCCGGCAAGGGAGTTCAAACAACTGCCTGAGTCTTAGGCTCTTGACCACAAACCTGGGTCCCTGTACCAGGTCGCTAGAAAAAATTGGCTTGCATATAGTAATATAGTGGAATCATGCAATTCGAACATCCCACATAGACTTCGAAAAAAAACACTCGACTGCTGGCCATGCATCATCGTGATGGGGCTCGGTGTGCAAGAACCTCGGTAGACAAACATTACCTTGGACTCTTGGACTTGCCACAATCAGCCCTAAGTTTAGCGAAGACCGCTTGCGAATCTTTTCCTTGCCGGCTTGCGTACCCGCAAGTAAACGGACTTCAAAAGTGTAAACAAGGGAGCCAGGAAAAATCTGGGGATCAAGGTGCCCAAAGAGTGACCGCTCAGACCCCAAGATGAACTCACAGGAACCGCCTAGAGCCCAAGCTGCAGGCCATCTAGGTACCTGGGCCGTTGTAAGGTGGCTGATTCAGCTGGGAAGCTTCGTGTTCTCTCGGACCCGGCAGCCCTGTTCGATCTTACCTTGGCTGCACTGGGCTGCACAACGAAGGAAGCTTCCAGGCTGAGCGGAACCTTCTCCAAACTGCGGCCTTTCAAACATTCATTGTTCCTGCAGAATCGTTGTGAGACAAGCAGGCACCAACATACCAGGTTTACCACGAGGGTCCCAAACGTGCAGCGGCATGCTGCCTCGGAAAGTGAATTACTTAGTCAGACTGGGTTTCGGGGTACGTAGACTTCACTCTCGTCCATGCTGTACCCTGACATGAGCGGCTTTGGCCGACTCATGGCATCAGAGCTCCAGCAGCTTACATTACATATGTCGAGAACTTCACTGCGACCCGGGCATCTGGAATCCGACGCTCGAAGCACTCATCCAAAGCAAACATTGACATGCTGCAGGGTAACATCTCGTGAAGCGGAGCTCATAAGCCAAACCAAGCCAAGGCAGTCCCAACCTAAGAAATGCCTTCTCTGAAAAAAACGCCCGTGAACGCCGACATCTAGCAAGAGAAAAGCTTGAAGCGGCAGAGGTGCTGATCAGGGACTCTTTCACCTGGAGTGGAGTTGCTAAGCTTTCCGCATGGCATGCGACAGGGAACAAAGAGTGAGGCATTCGAACAATGTCAAGAACAATTTCAATTGCATTGCATTGCTATGACAGCAACAATGTGGTGGCAGTGAAGGCTGTGGTTGTCGCGGTAGCAGTGGCAGTAACAGTAGCAATAGCAGCAGAAGCACTAGCAGTAGCAGTAGGACAGAGGGAGCAGTAGCAGCCGTAGCGGCAGTAGCTGCAGCAGCAGTAGTAGCAGTGGTAGCAGCAGTGGTAGCAGCAGTGGTAGCAGGAGCAGGGGAAGAGACAGTGGCAGCAGCAGCAGCAGCAGCAGCAGCATCAGCAGCAGCAGCAGCAGCAGCAGCATGAGCAGGAGCTCCCATTGCTGCTGCTGTGATATTGGAAATGATGAACATGGACCAGCATGAGCAAGACCATGAAGAGCAGAACGCACAAGCAAACAATCACAAGTTGCAGCTGCGGATAGATTCCGAAAAGTGCAGCATGTCCACTGTCGCATGTTTATCTCCTCAGCTTCCACAAGCAGAAAACCGACCTCGCTGCTACCCTACCCCGCGAGTACATCCAGGCACCTCTTCTGCCAGGGCTTGCAAAGGCCGTCCAGATTTGCGCACCGCACAGCTTGCCAGGGGACCTAGACAATGATCTTCAGAGGTGTTCTCGCCAGGACTGAGGGTGAAACTTTGGAGGTTGAGGGCTTCGGCGCCAAGCCCCTTGAAGCCTGTGCTTTTCAGAGAGCTATGAGCTCTAACGGCGAACTAATGCCATAACTGTTCGGGAGCTGTGAAATGCTCAGAAGACGGGGTACCCATATGGCTGTCCCACTGTTGGCATTCTTTCTGTCAAGATAGCTGGTGTCGCAATAGGTGACGCGATATGCAGAAAATGGGGTGCAGAGCTTAACTCGCCTGAACGCCAAATCTCTAGGCTCGTACAAGGTTTGAGAGAACAAGCGTGTGCTTGTAGTCTCAGCTATTTTGAAGATCACGGTTTGCAGCCGGGTGCGCGTCAACAGAGAGGACTTCAGAAAATCCCAGAGAGATGTTTACGCAAAAGCAGACGCCTCGAACCCTAAGTCCTAAACGCCAAGCCCTAAATATCTCGAGTTTCCAGAGCATGCTGAAAGCCTAAGTCCCCCATTCGAAGTTCAAACAAAAATCGGCCGCTGTACTGTACAACCCCGAAAAAACGGCATGCCTCTTATGCGCATTCCCAAAAAAAACACATCCCAGAAGTCACCAGGAAGGTCGAAAGGCATGAAGCCAGATCCTCTTCGGAGAGATCCACCAGCCTCCGCTGAATCAGAGATTACAACAAACCTCACACGCAACCCGTTATTGCATTGGCTGACATCCAGTGAACGTGTGTTTGCTACGAGGCGTGTGCAGTTATTCCAAACACACCGAAAGTATAACTCATGGTCTCAACAGCAAGCCTGGAAGCCTGAAGCTGGATTGTGGAATGGCGGCTGTACTCTCTAGGCACATGATCTTTAGCAAGCTATTTGAAAGAGGCTGCAAGCACATCATTCATGTAGAATTTCCTTCTTAACCTTAAGCCCTCAAAGCCTCAACCCAACGCCAACCCCAAACTGCAGCCACTCAATCCAAAATCCTAAGCAACGCTGAGTAACTTCTTTCGGCGGTGCCCGGAAAGCGACACAAGCACACGCTCTATGACGCTCGGAGTGATGCTCGGCATCCTGACGCAGAACTTGAGAAACGGGATTGGGGGTCAAGGTTTTTGAAGCCAAGGGATGAGGGTTTAGGAGGTTACGCGCGTGCATCCTGCCCAGAAGCGCGGTGTACAGGATATCCCTTTGGCGCACACAAGTTGTTTGAGGAAGGTGGGGGTGCATGTAGAGTTGCGGAAGTCCTAAGTCAAAGAAATGTACAGGCGGCTTGTTGGAGGGTGAATATCCTTCACCATTGTCGCGGCTAAGTGCAGTTTAGGGGTCTGATGCACGTCCCTCTTTTGCATCGTCTTGGGACTGCCCACCTTGCCTAAAAATGCAGATGGCTTCTACAAAGCCCTTCTCCCAAATCCGTGAAAGCTTATATCATAACCCAAAACACAATATGCAAGACATCCTGCAAACCTAAAGGATGAGAGCGCTGGGAATAGTTGGTTTCCTGCAGACAGCTTTCTACGGGAATACTCTTTTCTGCGGGCCGGATTTTGTGTGTCTATACTGGCGTTAGCATTTCTTCTCGCTTCATCCCTCCAAATCATATGTCCAAGGCGAAGGATGTTTAGGGTTTCCGAATGCCCAGGGATGAAAACCTTTGTCCGAGGGGTTTAGAATGGAGGGCTCAGGGCTTTGCGTGATCAGACGGGGGATCACATGCTGGCTCTCGCGCACGAAGGTCCAATGCAGGCTTCATACTCGTCCTTACTGCTGATAGACTTATCGATCACATAGGCTTCCTTTTTCTGAGCTTAGCTGACAGGTATTCTAGAACATATGTATATATATATACACGCACAGAGTTGTGTGCATGTACATATGTATGAGTACATACACACATGCCATGTTCTGCATGCACTAGCTAAGGCTGAATCGTAGCCAAGAAGAACGTCCAAGAAAGTGCATAATGAGGCATTGCAGTGTCCGTTCTCGCTTTCAATTCCCAAAAAAAAGGAAAACAAATTACATGGCGCCAGAAAACACTTGGCACAAATGTCACACTCACACACACGTCCATAAATAGAGGTTGATGTTGCTGATCCTGCGTTTCATGCTTTCATTCATCACCGGTCAGCGAAATTGCAACCCTAAGCTTGCCCTAAACCCTAAACCAGAAACCCTCCCCTCATTCCGGAGTGGTGCCGCATCGTGTGATGGGTTACGGTTCAAAGCTGGGAGTGGCAGGTTACATAGCTCTCAGCTGCTTGATAGTCCCAGGCGAGCTTGTCATTGTTACATACATGCATACATGCATACA